AAAAAAAAAAAAATACGGGTCTCTTTTTTTTGCATCTTTTACAATTCTGGGGGGCGGCCGCGTAAATTTTTTTTGGGCCACTCTAATATATATATATATATAAATAATATATATATATATGTATATTTGTTGTAAATTCTGTAATAAATCGTGTTTGTTTATTTTTTTTACTTTATTTTATTTTACTTCGTTTTTGATCACCGATCCAACGCGAATCCTCCTCCTGCCGACATGCATATACGACGAGCTAGTCGAATATCAAGAACATCAACAACTAAGATTACCATAATCTTGGATAAGTTATTTATTTTTTTTTAACTATAAGTTAAGGGCTACCGTTCGGTTATTACGGATCACAGATTGCAATATGATCATGACTTTCAATGGGAAGATGTTAAAATTTTAGATGAAGAACCTAATTATAGAAAGCGAATAATTTCTAAGATGCTAAACATTAAAAAGCAGAAAAATAGTCTTAATTTACATACGGACACTGAAGGTCTTCACGATTCATATATATTATTTATTGTACCAATATTTATTATTTTTTACTTATTATTTCTTTTTGCATAATATATTGTATAATATATTGCTGCGTCTAAATAAAATTTTTAAATAAGATCTCTTAATTTATTCTAACAATAGTATTAGGATTGCCATTCATTATCCGATGTAGCAAGTTTTATTTATGAGGAACAGATTACAAAGATCGTAATTCTGCATGTACGGAATTGCAGATAGAAACGAAGAAAACTTATAATTGCAGGTGGAGCAAGGACGAATAGAGGTGGCGACTATCTATCTGGGCGGCGGAATTTGTGGTGTTCTAGGAGCGTCGCTTCTGTAATAAATCGTGTTCGTTTATTTTATTTTACTTTATTTTATTTTACTCCGTTCTTGATCACCGATCCGACGCGAATACTCCTCCTGCCGAACCTTGTTGTACGACACGCATATACGACGAGCTAGTCCAATATCAGGAGGAACCATTAGAGTAATCTTGGGTATGTGGTCTCAGGATATTTTGAACGAATTGACTGTTGTGAGTTTGAAGGAGGTCGCTCGACAGGTGGGCAAATCCACGGCGGGAACGAAGGCGGAGTTGATGTCCCGAATATTGTCCGTTGAGGAGGATGCTTGGCGAGGCGCGGTTGGACGTCTGACGGATGATAACTCGTTGCAGGGCTTGACATCGCCAAAATCAACTATGCGGATGACGGAGCAACGAGCGCGGCCAAACGAGGAGGCGGCGATTTCGCATGTGGCTCCGTCGGAATTGATGAAGAGAGAGCTCGAGATACTGAAGCGCGAGAAGGCGCTTTTGGAAAGAGAACTGAGTCTTACCCGTCGGGAGTTGGGTAAGACTCTTTATTGGCCATCCATCGGTCCCTTTCATTTTTATTCCTACAGGTAAGTTACTTTTTTTTTTTAACAATAAGTTAAAGGCGCTTAAAAAGCCCGAATTTAAATGTAAATTGTCAATTATTGTTTATCGTCAACTTTTGTATTACGTCAGTTAATTATTTATTTGATGATTAAAATTTCTTCTTTCAATAAAGTAAGTGAAAACAGGAGCATCTTTACATATAGGGCATTCCATGCCAAGTGGGCCACCCATTTTGCGAAGTTTCTTCATTTCTCATAGAAATGAACAAAGAAAAGCAGAATAGTAATTGGTACATATTAAATTAAATATACAATTTAGATAAATATTTTAATAGCTTAATTATTTTTTATTATCTTTATATTATTAACTTTTAAATATAAACACAAAATATTATTATTGTAGCAAGAACTTAGGAAAATTTCGTGAAATCTACAGGAAAAAGACATTAAAAATGTAAAAAAAAAAAACGTCAAGTATATTATTATTGTAACAAGAACTTAGCACAAATTCGTGAAATCTATACTGGAAAAAGACACTAAAAATGTAAAAAAATGCGTCAAGTATATTAATGCCATAAAAAAGAAGTGAAATTAAAATAATATACATATAAGAAACCAAATTTAATGCCATAAAAAATAAGTGAAATCAAAATAATATTTCAAGTATCTTTATTAAAGTGCTCCTACAGAACACGTATCTGCATCTTGAAGGCGTCCTTTTTACGACCTTTGGGTATCCTTTAGAAATGTAATGTATTGGATAATTATAATAAACTTTATAAAAAATACATTTTATTTAATGTGTATAAAGTATAACAACACATTAAAATGAGAAAACGAAATGTAATAGATAGCCTAATAAGAGGCGCAGAAATTGAAAAGGTATTTTTACCTCGATAACAAATAGAAAATCATAGAGACAATCGAAAATGAGATCTTGCTCATTTGTAATATATTTGTGCTCTAAAAAGTAAGTGATATCCGAAAAAATTATATCATAAAAATGAAAAGTTCAAGCCATGTTCAAAAAAGAATACTCAAAACACCTTTTTATCTAATAATAATATATTATATTACTATGAAAAGTAACTGATATATTATTAATTAAAGGTGCTAGTACAAAGTGAACATACATAAAGTGTATGTAGCTTTCGGCCGATTTTCGATATATTACAATAATAATATATTGTTATTTTTCTGTTTCAGCACTGACGAAATAACAACTGTCACTGCCAATAACACTGCCAGTCTTATTGACATCACTCCTAGTAATGGAAATCGACGGAAAATGTGAGTAACAAAAAAATAAAAATTCCCAACCACCAAGATTGTACGGCTTGCCTAAAATACACAAACCGAACGTCCCTCTCAGACCGATTGTCAGTTCCATAAAAGATCCCCGACATACGACATCTCACGATTCCTAGCCCGCGAATTACAACCCCTGATAGGAAGGACGAAGTTACATGTTACCAACTCGATGGACTTCATACGGAAAATCCAAAAAATCCGTCTACACCCTGAAGATATATTGGTAAGCTTCGACGTACTAAGAGTCACTCTTCACAAATGTCCCAATAAAAGACACTCTAGATATTATAAAAACCTCTCATAAAGCCCCAAATAAAATCATCCCTTTCTTTTTTCTGTTTCAGCACTGACGAAATAACAACTGTCAATAACACTGCCAGTCTTATTGTCATCACTCCCAGTAATGGAAATCGACGGAAAATGTAAGTAACAAAAAAATAAAAATTGTGTGTGTGTGCGCGTGCGCGTGTGTGCGCGCGCGCGCGCATTTATTATTATTGTTTATTATATAAATAATAATTTAACACTAAACGTACCATGACCCGGTCAAATAACCGGTTGTAAACTTTTGAACTACCACCAAGATTGTACGGCCTGCCTAAAATACACAAACCGAACGTCCCTCTCAGACCGATTGTCAGTTCCATAAGATCCCCGACATACGACATCTCACGATTCCTAGCCCGCGAATTACAACTCCTGATAGGAAGGACGAAGTTACATGTTACCAACTCGATGGACTTCATACGGAAAATCCAAAAAATCCGTCTACACCCTGAAGATATATTGGTAAGCTTCGACGTACTAAGAGTCACTCTTCACAAATGTCCCAATAAAAGACACTGTAGATATTATAAAAACCTTTCATATAGCCCCAAATAAAATCATCCCTTTAATAGAGTACTGTCTAACTACCACTTATTTCTCCTATAATGACCAATTCTATGAACAGACATCCGGAGCGGCCACGGGTTCCCCTATTTTTCCCGTAGTAGCGAACATCTTCATGGAACACTTCGGAGAAGAGGCCCTCCGAAAGGCGACTAGCAAGCCAGAAATTTGGTTCCGATACGTAGACGACACATTTGTAATCTGAAGACACGGAAAAGATGAATTCGACAAGTTCTTAAACTTTCTCAATAACCAACAAGGTCTACCCAGTACAACCAAAGCAACATTGAAACCTGCCAATTCCATACCACCAAGATTGTACGGCCTGCCTAAAATACACAAACCGAACGTCCCTCTCAGACCGATTGTCAGTTCCATAAGATCCCTGACATACGACATCCTATCAATTTTATATATATTATATATTTCACAAAATAAAAACTTCGTTTTTATTTTTCAGAAATTCCAGTCGTCGGGAATGTGTCATCCTGTTCCATCGCGATCGAAAGCTGTCGACTAATGTTTACGGATCCAATATATTATGCGTGCTTCTAAATGGTGATATCATAATTAAAAAGGTAAACCTTTACAAAAGGGGACCACCCTCCGATGACCTTGACCTTGACATATGCTGTCAAGGTCATAACCCTGAGTAACCTCCAACAGGTTTTAGCCGTCGCTCGTCCTTCGTTAAAAAGTTATTAACAATCATAGTTTTAAAATATACGTTTCATTTCTGCTATATACGTATGATATCAAGTACTATTCTACACCTTTCCCTGTTCAGAAACGTTAAACTTTCCACGCGAAGTAACCTTCACCTCCCCCCCCTGCACAGGGGCACACGACTTCTACGATTGTACTGTTGCTATGATAGTACTGTCGGGGCACACCTCTGTGACGGTGTGGGTGCGGGGGGGTGGCCAAAGGCCACCTCCTTGCACCCGCCCGTGTGTGTGTGTGTGTGTGCGCGCGCGCGCGTTTATTATTATTGTTTATTATATAAATAATAATTTAACACTAAACGTACCATGACCCGGTCAAATAACCGGTTGTAAACTTTTGAACTACCACCAAGATTGTACGGCCTGCCTAAAATACACAAACCGAACGTCCCTCTCAGACCGATTGTCAGTTCCATAAGATCCCCGACATACGACATCTCACGATTCCTAGCCCGCGAATTACAACTCCTGATAGGAAGGACGAAGTTACATGTTACCAACTCGATGGACTTCATACGGAAAATCCAAAAAATCCGTCTACACCCTGAAGATATATTGGTAAGCTTCGACGTACTAAGAGTCACTCTTCACAAATGTCCCAATAAAAGACACTGTAGATATTATAAAAACCTTTCATATAGCCCCAAATAAAATCATCCCTTTAATAGAGTACTGTCTAACTACCACTTATTTCTCCTATAATGACCAATTCTATGAACAGACATCCGGAGCGGCCACGGGTTCCCCTATTTTTCCCGTAGTAGCGAACATCTTCATGGAACACTTCGGAGAAGAGGCCCTCCGAAAAGCGACTAGCAAGCCGAAACTCGATACACGATATATATAATATTTGAAATATAAGTAGATATTTTATCTGTGACGGTGTGGGTGCGGGGGGGTGGCCAAAGGCCACCTCCTTGCACCCGCCCGTGTGTGTGTGTGTGTGTGCGCGCGCGCGCGTTTATTATTATTGTTTATTATATAAATAATAATTTAACACTAAACGTACCATGACCCGGTCAAATAACCGGTTGTAAACTTTTGAACTACCACCAAGATTGTACGGCCTGCCTAAAATACACAAACCGAACGTCCCTCTCAGACCGATTGTCAGTTCCATAAGATCCCCGACATACGACATCTCACGATTCCTAGCCCGCGAATTACAACTCCTGATAGGAAGGACGAAGTTACATGTTACCAACTCGATGGACTTCATACGGAAAATCCAAAAAATCCGTCTACACCCTGAAGATATATTGGTAAGCTTCGACGTACTAAGAGTCACTCTTCACAAATGTCCCAATAAAAGACACTGTAGATATTATAAAAACCTTTCATATAGCCCCAAATAAAATCATCCCTTTAATAGAGTACTGTCTAACTACCACTTATTTCTCCTATAATGACCAATTCTATGAACAGACATCCGGAGCGGCCACGGGTTCCCCTATTTTTCCTGTAGTAGCGAACATCTTCATGGAACACTTCGGAGAAGAGGCCCTCCGAAAGGCGACTAGCAAGCCGAAACTCGATACACGATATATATAATATTTGAAATATAAGTAGATATTTTATGCTTATCTTTTTTTACTGGTTTCAGATGCTATTAAAATGTATGATAAAAAGGCAACGTCTATAAAGGAGATGGAGTCTGTTATCGCCATATGGCTTAGTAAAGCATCTGAAAGGTTAAAAAAAAAAGATAATATTAATAAGTGATCTCTCTCACCTCTATGGTTAATCTATTATACTTACTACCTATTACAAGTTGTCATATACATATATAGTAATGTGCATTAGATTTACTACTTTGATGGAAAAAAATCATTATAAAAATATTAAATATTATTTTACAGATTTATGCAGAATTAAAATAATGAAATTACATTGAAAGTCGGTCAATTAATACATATGTAGATTGTAGCGATTTATTTCCACTAGAGCTTATACTGTGATATGCTGAAATTATTATATTTAGAAAACTGTTTTGTTTTATTCACTGTATTAAAGGACGTGTAATTTTTTAAATTTCTTATTTTAATAATTATATAATTATTATTTTTAGTAGTATAAAAAATATTATAAACACATACCTGTTGTAAGCTATTATATGTATATGCGTGTGCATTATGTTTACTAGTCAACATATAAAACATGTTGAAATGATTATTTAGAAACTTTTTTATTTTATTGAACGTTAAAAATGTCATGTATTAATCAATATAATAAGAAATATACATGTTGTGTTATTACCTTAATTAGTATTTCTTTAAATCTTTTTTTCTATTAAATTTAAAAACAGCCTTGTAGGATGCAAAAGCTATACCATATACGAGTTAACACATTAAACTTTTCAGAAATAATAAATTATTTTTTGTGTTTAAAAATATAATTTATATTACAATAAATAAAATAAATCTTAACCTACAATCCTAACCTACATTCTCGTATTAAATTTCCGTAAAAGAAACCATAGAATATTCCTTGTAATAATAAAAATTATGCATAGAATATTCTAAGTATATGCTATGAAAACAATCTTGAGGAATGCTATTAGAATATTTACGATAGTGTACTTTTGAAAACATAAGAATATTCTTAGAATATCTATCTTCTTAAAAGGAGTTTCTAGGAATATTCAAATCTTCCTAGTGGAGAATCGGAAAATATTCCACGAATAAGTATGTGCTGGCTGGGTATGTTATTAGGTAATCAAATTTTATCATTGCCCTCCTGGAGTACAATGCATAGATACTTGAGTAATGTGAACTTTGATTGTGGATTTGATAAAGAATTTTTCGAAGCTTTTAAAAAAAAGTTACAAAATTTACCAGAAGCTGCTCGTCATGGAATTCTTTTATTTGATGAAATGTCAATCAGACAAAGTATTACACTGTTAATAGTATAACTTTAACGTTTGAAGGTCTTTCAAATACAAAAAATGATAGTACTCTAAACGATTTAGCAGATCACGCTCTTGTTTTTATGTTCAACTCGTTACAAGTAGATTGTTATCAGCCTGTAGCTATGTTTGCTAGCAAAAATGCTACTCCTTGCCACATTAGCTCTATGCGCAATCATCAAAATTGAAAATGCGGGTGGATTTGTTGATGATTTAACGTGCGATGGAGAAAGTAATAACAGAAGAATGTGAACTGAATTTGGAATTAGTGATAAACTTAATGTTTTAAAATCAAATACAAGTATGAAACACATTTTTGCGAGTGATCAAAATGCAACCAACGTTTCATTGAATGATCATAATAGTACAGAAGATTTGCGATGCAATGAAACTGTCTGAATGATTCACATTTTATTGCTAAACATAATATTGAAAGCTAGAATAATAATGAAAACGAAAAAAATTCTTTCATTATTTTAAGAATCCTGTAAATGATAATCGAAAGGTTTACGTTTATTTTCTGATGTTCCGCACCTCATCAAATGTATTAGAAATATTGTTAGATCAGGACTTATGGGTGTGTATTGAAAAATATATAATAGTATTAATGTACACAAAAATATGATTACCTTAGGGCTGCGCACAAAGGGCCGGAGTGCACGCTGCCGTTAAGGGTCGGTGACTTCTTCTTCTTCTTTTATTGGCCCTGCAGCCCTAACGGGCTGGTACTGAGCCACTGAGGTCCTCGGAAAATGCAAACAAAAACTAATTTCGGTATACAAGGCACCGGTAGCCTCAAAACCGGGCAGATATGCAAAGATGATGCAATAACGGTCAAATATGGCGCGTCCCCCCAGACACTGGATGCCTGTGGCTACGGCACCCGTACAATGTTCTTCGCACCGCACGGCCACGCGCCCAGAGAGTGAGACTCTCGATATCAGAAATGCAATGCACAGTCGAAGTCGGCAACACTTTTCAAAAATATTGGTCGAGGCGCAATATATCTCGAGACGGGGCGAAACACGTCCTTCCCGCTTGAGTGTCCTCACGAGACTTAGGGGTCGGTGATCCTGAGCCTGGGGGCGACGCCGACCTTTGACTATATAATACGGACTGCTAGCAACAACTTCAGACTGGATGTCGAGATGTGTCGCGCCCCCATCGACCAATGGAGGAATGCGTGAACTAATTTCACAATTCACAATTGACGTGCTCAGGGTCCCAAGGCTTCTAAACGTAATTTGTGTAATGCATATGCACACCTTTGATGCACACGTGCAAATTCGGTAATATTTTATTGTGTAAAACTTGTCGAAATGGTTGCATATTGCTTCGTCAAAGGCTGCACTTCAAGCAAATATAAAAGGAAATCCATGAAACATAAATGTATTGTGCTTTACATGTTGCGTCTCTCTGATAACGTTTCTCAATTATCATTGAATCCCAGTGATTCGCCTTGCTTATCATTTGTTGTACTCTAATCATTTGAAAAGAATCAGATGAATTAAAAAATTAAACATGACAGATGTGCAATATTTCAATACTGCTT